TTACGTTTAACTTTACTTAGTTTACGTTACGTATAGTATTTACTTTTATTTTTACGTTTTCTTAGTAGTAGCCTACCTTATACTACTATATATATATATATATATATATATATATATACACTATTGCTGTCTTGACATTAATTGGTAAACACCACTGTTGCTGTGCTTTTCGAATCTGTCTTTGTTGTTGCACAACATTTTTTCTATGTTGTTTTTATAATAGAAGGACTGCCTATAGATTTCTTTGTTCAGTGTGTTATATATTTTGTGATGTTACGACAGCGGAAGTCGTGTGATGCTGGTAACATGTGATGAGTTTCTCGAATGATCATGAATTTCCTAGTGCGTTCGAGACGCCCCTTTTTTTAGTATATAAACCTGGCAGATAAAGCCAGTGGCAGATTGATTGAACAGATATAGATAGATATTGAAGTAATAGATAATTGAGTCAAGCAAACAGTAGGCACCGTAAGTAAAGTGTATGAATCACTCTGATTTATAGCGTGTGTTATAAAGGTTGTTAAGTTTAAAGTGACTGTGAAAATTCTGTGTATTACAAAGTTGTATCAAGAAAGAATAAACTAGTTTTAATCAAGAAGGGACTTGTATTGTTGAAGCTCCTCGGAAAGAATTTATACCGGAAATTAACAAACAAGCAGATACGTAACAGTGAGAAGGTTTCCTGTGTAGCTCATCTTAAACCATTTTTTTTATGTCATTGGGTATAGTATATGGGTATATTGATTTTAAATTTATGGCTTTCAAGTGTTTAAACAACAAGTGAATTAATTAACTTTATTATATAACCATTGTTAACAGCAATATGTTTTACAGTTTTTAATTCAATTTCATAATCTTCAGATGAAATGGGTAGTGATAAGTCTTTTTAACAAACCATGGAACATGGCAAGTTTGTGAGGTATTGGATGTCTTGAAGAAGCATATATGATGGTGTCATTATAAGTCAGTTTTCTGAAGATTTTAAAGGAATGTATGTGATTATTAATGTAAATATTTAACTCCAAAAATAAATTTTTACATTTTCACCAAATTCCTTGACTGCCACATCTATATGGACTTACTAAACTATAAAAAAGAAATATCCCTATCAGACCTGTTGTTTCCTATACTAAAACCCCTGCTTATAAAATAGCACAGAAATCCCAAAATAATTTCAAAAACCTAACTGGTTTTAAACCTAAGTTTGGTATCCAAAGTTTCTGGAGCTTGTAGAAAAAATCAAATTTAGAGAAACTGAATAATGCCAAAATTGTTACTTTTGATATTTGTTATCTGTTTAAAGTAAACCTGTTAGTGATTTAGTGGATATAGAAAAAGTAAACCCTGTTCAAGCCCAGGAATTAAAAACAATAATAACCACCTGCCTAGATGAGTACTATTTCAATTTGAATTTATATTGTTAAGATAAATCAAACCAACAATGCTAAATGAATAAAATGTGTAAACCAATAAGTAAACTATTAACATTATTCGATTTAGAATAGAATACGCTTCGTATCTAAAACATTTATTCATATTTGTATTGGTAAATATTTTTCCATAAAACAATGTCTGAACATATATTTCAATCCTTATAAATGTGTATACAGACTTTGTCAAAGTTCAACATCTTAAAATCTTTAAAATGTCATTAACATCTCTACACTAATGGCCAAGCTTTGTATTTCTTTAATTTAGGTTTATTTTCCTTGATTAAAAGGGATTCTTTAATTTTTCTGTTCAAAAAATTATGATATTTAGATAAGATCTTAACATTCGATAAGATGTTATCTATTTTTGGTAAATCATGTTCTTTACCATAATGTTCTACAGTAGAATTATTAGTATTGATGCTTTGGATGTCATGCACATGTTCAAATATTCCATCATGTATGGGTCAGCAAGTTTCTCCTATATACGTACTAGAGTATCTGTCACAAGTTACTTCATGTATAAAATTTTTATTATGGCATCTATCATGTAGTCCATATTTAGTAGCTTTACAGTGATTTTTCATACATTGTGTTTCTTTCTTATATGATGAGCTGGTTATTAATGATTTAAGGGAGATACCTGGTTTTTTGTACTATTTTAATAGGTAAGTCTGATGCTTTAATTACTCTCTTTAGCTTTGTGGTGATATCATCACTTATTTATGGAATCACCCAAGTATTCTGAGCTTTAAATGTGTTTTCTTTATTTATACAGTTCAAAAGAACATGCCTATTTTAATTTTGCCTGTCAAAATTTCTTATTATGTTTTATATAAATTCTTGTAGATAAACATTTTTTTCTTAAGTTAAGTGTTAAGGACGAATAAACTGTATATAAACAGAACTTCTATATAAGGCAGGAAGGACGAGGCATAAAACAGTAGGAATGAAGGAAATGCTGGGTACTGTCGGGGGAAAAAAAGAAAACCATAAGGGAAGCTGGAAAATTCGAAAAAAATTCAATAGGTAGAGAAGTATTCCAGAAAAATTATTCCAGATTGTCAGATTTTGTTAGAGGAAGGATAGTTGGTCAGGCAGATGGTGGAATAAGTCAGCGTCAAATTTCGCAGAATTTGGGAATCCTGTTTTTGACAGTCAACAGAATCATTGTGCAGTTCAGGAAACACGGCAAGGAAACAACTGAGCAGTGGAAAAAGCACTCACAGTAGTCCCCTTCATTGAAAGACCTCCAAAAATTGCAAAGGAAATGATTGGAAGAGACAAGAACCGATGATTTGTGAAAGTATATTGAGTATGTTAAAGTCAATTAAATTGAAAATTGGTTGTAAGTAAAATGCGTGAATCGTTGTGAATTATAGCGTGTGTTTAAGTTAAAGTGACTGTAGAAATTAAGTGTATTGCAAAGTTGTAATGAGAAAGAATAAACTAGTTTTATTTGACAAAGGACTTGTATCTCTGAACTTCTTCGGAGAGAATTTTTTTATGGGAAATTAAAAAATGACCAGAGACATAACAAATTGGTGTCAGAAGTGGGATCCAAGCATAAGGGACGTGCTTCAATGAAGTTATATCAAGTTGGTGCACCGATGGAAAGAGTAGCTGTTGACATTGCTGGTCCTTTGCCCCAAACTTGTGCTGGAAACAGGTACATTTGTATGGTAATAGATTATTTCACCAAGTGGCCTGAGGCATATGCAATACCAAATCAGGAAGCTACAACTGTAGCTTTGGCTGTTAGTGATTTCTTCTTCAGATTTGGTATACCATATGAACTGCATTCGGATAAAGGCCATAACTTAGAATCAGCAGTGTTCCATGAATGTTGCAAGTTGTTTAGCATACAAAAGACCAGGACAACGTCACTCCACCCACAGTCTGATGGGATGGTTGAAAAGTACAATTGGACACTTTGACAGGAATTGGCAAAGTTTTGTAATAGCCGCCAAGATTACTTGGATGTCTTACTCCCTCCACTGTTGATGGCCAAAAGAACAGCAGAACATGAAGCCACTCGATACACTCCAGCAAAGCTGTTGTTTGGTCGGGAACTTCAGTTGCCAGTGGATCTGATAAACAGGAAGCCCACCTTACCAAGAGTTGCCTGAAAATGTGTCAGAGTTCATGAATGTGTTATCTGAGAGGATGGATGATATTCACCATCAAGTGAGTTCAAACTTGAAAATGTCTGCTGATTCCATGAAGCTATCTTATGATAAGATATCTACTGAAGTCAGCTTTGTACCAGGAGACAAGGTGTGGTTGTATAATCTCAGGAAGACCAAAGGGCAGTCTCCTAAGTTGTCATCTCCATGGGAAGGCCCATATGACGTAGTGGATTTTCTTTCAGACGTGACTTTCCGAATAAAATGTGGTCGGAAAGGTAAGCCAAAGGTGGAGCATGCCAACAGGCTTTGCCGTTATCATGGTCCAGGACATTTCAGTTGGAACAAAAGGAACAATGGAACAAATGATGCTGCTGAAAATGTGTCACCTGAAAAAGCCACTGTCGAAGAAGAAACTCGACCAGGTTTTGAGAAGGGAAACAGTGAAGCCCTTGATGAAGTGAAATAAAAAAATCTGAATATATATAAGTACAGGCTATCATAAAGTGAAATAAAAACCTGAATATATGTAAGTACAGGCTATCAAAAAGTGAAATAAAAAAAACCTGAATTTTTTAAGTTCATTTCCAAAACAATCTTTACAGGAAAGGGTTTAACTCTAACTACTGGCTCAGTTCATTTGACCTAAACATTGATCTTGAGAGTTTGTATACTATAACTTCTAATATGTTATGTGTATCTTCACAAAATTTTGCTAGCTTCCCATATGCATTAAGTCATTTGTAGACAAAAATCAGAACTTATATTGCAGTATTTTCACTAAAGGTTTCTCCACGAACATATTCAGTCAAATAATTGACTGCAAAGTGATATTAAAATTAAAAATACTTTTCTTTTTCTGAAAAATGTTAAATTTCATTTATGTAGTATCTAAAAACCTCCTAATTACAGTTCAAGCAATTTTTATATTTTATCTGTTGTTTTGTCTACCCTAACTCAAACACAAGGTTGTAATATAAAATGATAAATACATATTTTATATCTTCCCTAATAATCTTTTCAGATTCCAAATAATTAGAAACAAACTGTAGAAAATGATAACCAGGATATAAAACTTCTGAATTTGCATAAACAACAAGAAATTTGTGAAACTCACCAGACAGGCCCCATCTCATTGTAGCTTTTAAGGCAATTATCCCAAATGACATATCATTACTTGATAGACAAGTGTATAACAAATAGAAAAACATATTACAGTTATATATTTTTGGTGGGCATTCATAGATAATTGACCTCAGATTCTTTGTTTGTTATCACTGTTGATTATTTCTGACCAGTTAATGGAATTATTTGAACCTATTTATATCTTAGTTTCAAAACCTTTTAAACTACACTTGTTGTGTATGATATATTTTATGTGTTACATATTTTCAGACAATGTTCAAGGCATTGTTGTAGAACATTCTCTATGGAACGCTCACAATTCTCACACTTTTTCTGAAATTTATAAAGAACTACTGAAATAATGATCCACAATCTCAAAGTGTTTGTTCTTGTCAATTACAATGTTGGTTCAAAAGAAAATCATAAGGGTTTTGGATCTCATTACAACTTTTGTATGTGATCTGTGTGCCAATTCATTAATTGGAACTATAAGGAAAGTTAGAGAATCTTCAGTTGCAGAAGTGCTAAAAAGAGCCCAAAGAAATGTGTGTCTGCAGGTATAGGAGTGGTAAAGTTATGGATATATTTCATGGCTTGTTATCCTCAAACATGGATTAGGAGGATAATTTAAAATCAGGTGAGAGATAGAGAATATAAAAACATTTTTTGAATGAAGGGCAAGAATATTACAAGGATGAGAAGAGCGAGGAATACTAAAATAATGTGGAAATAGCATGACCATAGCACAAGGGTGATTCATTTTGGTAGGATCAAAACACTTTAAAAACTACTTAGATGAAGATAAAAAACAGAACAGCAAAGTGATCATGACCTACATATATCTCACTCCACATTTACTGATACCTACCAAGATAGTTATATTTTTTGACTGAGTCAGAAATTGCTTCTTGACAACAATATTGTTATTGTTAAGAAATTAAGATAACCATACAAATAAGTACTTTACTAGCAGTAGATAGTTGGTTAATCTTTTAGCTCAGTTAGTAGATCACTTGTTTATTATTTTAAAGGTTTCAGGTTTAACTTCACCTATAAGTGTTTGTATAGAACATAATTATGGTAATTTCACTGTTTTTAAGTTCCTGATATCATAACTAAAATAAGCAACAAAATACAACCTACTCTTATGATCTGGGACAGAAAATAATATCAATGTATGAAAATAGTATATCTATAGTATATATATGAACAGTATATAGCATATTTCCAATCAATAATGGAAAATTCGGGTACACTGTTAAACAGGTAAAATTCACAACGGTTATGTTGGAAAGAACACAAAACATTTAAATTATAAACATATATACACTTACTACTTGGTAATGTAATTGTTTCATCTTCGTTTTTGATCAGTTTGACATCTAACAAAGCATCCTGCTTTTCATCAGAAGAGGGTTCAGCCTTTATCTTTAATACTTCCATAGTTACAAAGTCTGCAGTTAGAGAAAGTTGTGAAGTGTTAGAACGTACATCCTTCAAATAGGTTACAAAGTCTTCAACAAAGCTACAAATTCACATTATCTTGATAACTTTTCTATCATTTCATAATTTTCTTCACGTCTTTACACTTAAACTGTTACAAATCCTCTTTATCTTTATGTACATAATGTATAGTGAGAAACCAAGTCAATCTTTACCACATTTCATGTAGTAGTGGAACTACTGAAATACTAAACTCTAAACCTTCATACTATATAGTTTTAATGATGAATATAAACATTGTATGTATCAACTGTGTTGTGTTTAACATTAGTAAACAGATAAGGTAAGTAAACAATAATATAAACTTTGTTAATTGTTTTAATGATAAATATAAACATTGTATGTATCACCTGTGTTGTGTTTAACATTAGTAAACAGATAAGGTAAGTAAACAATAATATAAACTTTGTTAAATGTTTTAATGATGAATATAAACATATCAGCATCTGGTTATAACCATTCACAAATAGCAGGATGTGTATTACTCCTCTTGAGTACCTAGTGTATACCAAAAGCTTCTTCTAGAAAAGCAAAAAAAAAAAAGAGACATACCAGAAGTGGAGGAAGAGAAGGTGGTTCTTTGTAGAGATGTCTGGTATTTTTTGGTAATGAAAATGTTAACTTTAAAAATGCTTCTCACCTCAGAGAGAAAATTAAAAAGATAAGTTTCTTCCTGGGAAAATAGTGAAAGAAAGGAAGAATCTAGTAGAACATTACTTGGTGAGATACTGAATGCACCTCAAACCAATGAATGAAAACTCTTTACTCAAACAGTATTGTAAAAAGAATTTCCTGCATGGTAATAAAATCTCTCAAAGGTAGGTGATATGCAAAGACTGCTCTGCTGGACTGTATGTCTAAGGGGGTTGACAGAGCATAAATGTGTTGTGTGGGTAGGGCTACAAGTCAACTCAGTACATGAAATACCTATCAGAGTAAGCAGATGCATGGATGAAAAATCTGAGACCTGAGGAGAACGCAAGACCAATTCAGTTGGCCAAAACCACCAGGAATGGTATGAGTCTTTGTGGCCAACTTAAAAATTCCAGGTAAACAGCTTAGTTCCATGTCAAATCAAGGAGTGTGTACACTCAGCCTCTAACCAGTATGATTATACTTACCCAAAACTAAACTCTCCATAGCAACCTCAACAGTGACTAGGTACTGGGGAAGCAAGAGAAAATGGGAGAACTTGTATAATTGAGAACACAGCAGAGAAAAATGGACCAAACAGGAATTTACTGTCATTATACAAAATAAATTGATTTTTCTAGTAGAAACATAGCAATTCAATGTAAGAATATGTGCTCAAGTAAACAAGTTAAAATGTTATACTACAAGGAAAAAATAGAAACGAGTTTGTTTGTTTTGAAGTGAAGTACAAAGCTACACATTGGGTTATCTCTGCTCTGCTTGCCACGAGTATCAAAACCCAGTTTCTAGCATCATAAGTCTGCAGACATACCACTGTGCTATTTGGGACCAAAAATAGATATGAATTATTGTTTCAAAACAAAACAAAATGTTTCTCTCATGAGTGTGTTGCTGCTGCAGATAAGTGAACTTCTTCTGACATTGTTAATGGTGTATGTAATGATAAAATCTGTGTAAACCATATGTAAGACTGATCAAAGTTATCTATTATTTTCTACATTAAATGAAGCATTTTTAGTTATATAACCCAACAAGAGACTGAAGTGTTATATTTTCATCAGCTGTAAATGCTAAAAGCTATTTGAGAATTGTGGTGATAGTGAACATAATGAAAAAAAACAAAAGGGCCAAAGTACAAAAAAGAGAACTTAGTCAGAAAATGTCCTTTTTCTACAGACAATAAGTCTTGTTGCTGAAGTAGGAAACAGGATGAATGAAGTATGTCAAAACAAGAAGTCAATGAAAATGCTGAGAAAATTTGTTAGTGGAACTGAAAATTATGAATTTAGAGCAGTGGAAATAACTATTCTTATACAAATAAGACACCGTGACATAACAAAGTAACTAATGTTGACAATAATAAACTGTTGTTGTCAGCTGAGTTTTACCTTGGAGGACAACCATGCTTTCTGTTCAACATATTTAATTTTTATCAAGTAAGAGTAACAGTTTTGAAGAGCTCAGAGGTTACAGAGATGAAGAAATTGATAAATTATATTATTAAAACTATATTGCCATTCTTATCACAAGAAGAAAAGGAATACTCCATAGAAGAGAGGTTGGACTTCAAAATGTACATCATTAGAAATCTTAACCAACCTGTTACAGATGCATATGAAAACATATAAGTTAACAAGTTTAAGACATATTTTGCCCCTAATAAACATTATGTTGACAATTTCTCCATCAATGGCAGAATGTAAAAGGGCATTTAGCCAACTTAAGAAAATTAGCACAGGGATAAGACTATCTCTAAATCAAGACAGGTAGGATACACTAGGTTATAATCCAACAAAAAAAGCACTGTAAAATGGTTAAATGGGATACAATACACTAAAGGTCACACATGTTCTTATCCTAGAAGACCATAAAGTTTGCTCTCAGTAGTGTTCTCCTATTAACTGGTCAATTTTCCATAGTGAAAAATGATTTTCAGTAGCATAGATACCATCATTCTAATTGGCACACACTACAGAGAATGTACCTGGCTTTAGGCAAGGCCACAACACAGTGTTGCTTCTGAAGGTCTGTACTCATCAGCTTACCTGGCTTTAGGCAAGGCCACAACTCAGTGTGTTGCTTCTGAAGGTCTGTCCTCATCAGCTTACCTGGCTTTAGGCAAGGCCACAACTCAGTGTATTGCTTCTGAAGGTCTGTCCTCATCAGCTTACCTGGCTTTAGGCAAGGCCACAACTCAGTGTGTTGCTTCTGAAGGTCTGTCCTCATCAGTTTACCTGGCTTAAGACAAGGCCACAACTCAGTGATGCTTCTGAAGGTCTGTCCTCATCAGTTTACCTGGCTTTAGGCAAGGCCACAACTCAGTGTGTTGCTTCTGAAGATCATCACGTTCTTGGTGTTATGGTTTCTTCTTTCACCTGAGAAAAATCACTTATAGCCAGTCATTGAGAATTCAAGCTCAACCCGCAGTGGCTTGCTTCCTGTAGAAAGCAGGCGCATCAAAATATTGTGATAGGACATACAGACAGATACGTACAGAGGACTTCAAGAGAAAAGACAACTTTGAATGAACCGATTATACAGTATGACCCCATAGTCACCATAGCTATTTCAAAATGACTATAGCACCGTTGCTAAAGAGTATTTTACAAGAAAGCTACAACAAAATCATAGCAGTAGGCAGGTCTATTCTAGGGAAAAGTATCAAACAGCTAATACAGTCTACATCTTATTATGACGAGTCTGAGTAAATTTCGGAAACTGTTTAAGTTATATATAGAAACAAGTTTAAGTTATACATGTAGTTAAGACTAAAATGCTCAAGAATTTATAAGTATTACAATTGCATTAAAGTGAACACTAATTTAAAGAAAGAACATGAGGAAAGTAGTTTCTTTTACATAGACTACATTAAACTTTTCAAGGTTTAATAGTTATTTACCACACTATTTCAATTAAAGCATTTACAGTTAAGAAAAATATAAATTTGTAAACTGTGACATATCTTCTTTCTTTTGGTCAGTTTCTTAGTCTTGTTGCATATTTACTTGTTTGTTAATTTCCGGTATAAATTATTTCCGAAGAACTTTAGCTATACAAGTCCCTTCTTGATTAAAACTAGTTTATTCTTATCGATACAAACTTTTTGTAATACACAGAATTTCCACAGTCACTTTA